CATTTTAAAATCCCATTTTAAAAAGAATTGTGCGTTCATTTCTTTTTATCAGAAGTTAGCAGTTACTGATCTCTTTGTGGCTTTTGCAGACATCTGCCAAAACATTTCTGCTATTAAGCAGTCTGCAAAAGTGCTCATGTGCCCTTTATTTCTAGCACCCTATTCCAAGCCTTCTCATGTTTCCGTGGGCATTTCTTAGGGCATTTCTAACTTTAAAAAATGTGTTCCTTATAACTAATCTACCACTTCTGTTCTTTTTCTTTTTTATAACATTTTCCTCTTTTTAGCTTATCTTTAATAACAAGTGATTAATTTTATACTCAGGATTTAAATCTTCATTTTTATCCAAAGTTTTCATTGTTTGTTTACTAAAACAATAAATGAGTCATATTGATTATATTCTCTTCCCAACCTCACCCCTAGCAAATAATTGGAAATAAATTAATTGATCTCTAGTTTGCTTTTGCACTTTTACAAAGTTATAGAACACCTGGAGAGAAAAAAGAACTGAAAATGTTAAATGAATAATTATCAGTTTTTAAATTTGATGTATGTAATTTTATATTTATGCTTTACTCTGGGTGTGTTATTCAAGCAATTTGTAATAATCAGCCAATGTACAAAAGCCAATGATTTATTAATTGCTAAATCTATGCCAAGAGCTGACCTTAGTTGTCCCAGTGTATGGCTTCTGTGAGGTCATAGGAAGCCAGAATAATTTTATCACTTGTTAGAAAATCAGTATTTGTTATTTTATGACAAGAAATGTCATTGACCAAAATACATACAATTTCTAAAATGTGGAATAGGCTGAAAGATAATTTCTGGACTTTTCATTTCTAGTTCAAGTTATTTGGTTAGTCTCTTTGGTGTTGCATTTATTCATTGTATCCAATAATTGTTTAGTATGTGGATGTTTTGTGCTAGGCAGCATGCTAATATTTTGTGAAACAGGCCTGGATAAAGAAAATAATGGCCACAGGATTAGTTTTCCACTTATTAGATGTCATCTTCGTAGTTTCCTCTCTTGAGATTTCCCCTCCTTGTATTTTCTCTGTAATTTTAAGTTAGTCTGATAAAGAGAATAATAGCACAGTTGGATTCAAAGTAATTGTTACATTGAAAAATGACCCAGAGGTAATTATAAAATTAAAAGGAAGATATGGGGAAAAGTAGATAGTGCTACTGGTGCTAGTGGGTGGGTGGATAAAGGAAAACGGTAGATTATTGTTGAAGTGCTAGAACGTCATGAATGAGAAAGATAAGAATGTCAAATGGTCCATTTTATTTATTTATTTATTTACTTACATATTTATTTTTATGTATTGGTATGGTTATAGAATTGGTTAAATTTAACAAATGCTGATTATGTAAAAGCATATTGCAAATAAAAATATGATTAAGACATGGCCCCCTGCCATGAAACGAATCATAGCCCAGTGAAAAATGCTGCAACAGAGCGACAAGTAATGTACATTGTGTGTAAAAAAGAGGGAAAGACTTTGTTGGTGGGAATGAGTAGGTGGTCAGTGAAAGAACCACAGGGCGGTAAGTGTTAAATGTTTTAAAGCCATTTGTTTTAGAGTTCTCCAGAGAAATGTTGTAAAGCCATCTTAAGCATCTGACTTAAATATATTTTTAATAAATTGTTAGTATTAGGCCAGATCTTGAAAGCCTTAAGTTAAAAGTGAATTGAAACAAAATAAATCCTCTGAGGCAAATTTGGTTAGGTAGCCACATTATTCTTTTACTGCAAAATAAATAAGTAAATAAATAAATAAATAATACATACATATATATATATATATATATACACACATATATATATATACACATACACAAATATTTATATTGATTTAAAGAAAGCTAATTTCACTATACTTAATGTATTGCAATCTGTGTATCACTAGATTTCCTTATCATTCAGACCTCACTGATCTATTCTTGGATTCCTGTAGTTCTTACCCTTGGCACAGTTAATTTGTCCCCTTGATATTGCTTATATACTTTGTCAATGTACTGTAAAGTTGTAGTTTTTTAGCTTTTTTCCTATATATAGGATGGGGCAAAAGTAGGTTTACAGTTGTGAGTATGTGAAACAGAGTTTATTCTTGTATTATTATTTATTAACTAGAGGCTCGGTGCATGAAATTCATGCGGGGAGGGTGGAGGGTCCCTCAGCCCAGCCTGCACCCTATCCAATCCAGGACCCCTTGGGGGATGTCCGACTGCCTCTCAGAATCCAGGACCACTGGCTCCTAACCGCTCACCTGCCTGCCTGCCTGATCGCCCCTAACCCCTCTGCCTGCCTGCCTGATCGCCCCTAACCACCTCTGCCTACCTGATCACCCCTAACCACCTCTGCCTGCCTGCCTGATCACCCTAACTGCTCCCCTACTGGCCTGATCACCCCTAACTGCTCCCCTGTTGGCCTGATTGCCCCTAACCACTTCTGCCTCGCCTCGCACCCGGGATCCAGGATTCCCTCCTCTGGCTGGTCGCAGGTACAGGGAACCCGGCTTCCCTCCCTCTGGCCGGCTGTAGGCACCCAGGACCCGGGCCGGCTTTGCCTGGTCCGGCTGCAGCCGCAGGGGACCATGGGCGGGTGGCTTTGCCTGGGCCGCAGCCACAGGCGCCAGGACCACAGGGCGGGCAGCTTGTCCCTCTCCTGGGCCACAGGTGCAGCCGCAGGCGCTGGTGCCTGGGACTGCGGGGCGTGCAGCTTGTCCCTTTCCCGGCTGCAGCCCCAGCCGCTGGCGCCCAGAACCACGGGGACTATCGGGTGTGCGGATTGTCCCTCTCCCGGGCTACAGGTGCAGGCGCAGCCACTGGCGCCCGGGACTGCGGGCGGGTGGCTTGTCTCTCTCCCAGGCCCCAGCCTGGCTGGTCTACATTCCTCTCTTGTAAGCTCATTTGTGCCTGGCTGGTCCTCACTCCTCTCTCGTGAGCTCATTTGTGCCTGGCTGGTCCCCATTCCTCTCTCCCCAGTGTTGAGTGCCTGAGCTGTCTCGGCGTGACGGCATGAGGTTGTGACAACCATTTGCATATTAGCTCTTTATTATATAGAACTAGAGGCCCGATGCATGAATTTTTGCATGGATGGCGTCCCTTGGCTTGGCCAGCAATCGGGCCAATCAGGGTCATTCTGCTCAGTCCAGATCGGGGCCTATGGGGTCTGGCCAGCCTGGGAGGGCTCCAGGGCGTGTCCAACCTGTCTTGCCCAGTCCCAATCAGCGATCAGCCAGACCCCAGCAGCAAGCTAACCTACCAGTCGGAGCATCTGCCCCCTGGTGGTTAGTGTGGGTCATAGCAACTGGTCAAGCAGTCGACTGAATGGTTAACCGATAGGTCAGACACTTAGCATATTAGGCTTTTGTATTATTTATTAATTATTGTATTATTTTCCATATGAACAACTGTAAACCTACTTTGTCCTACCCTGTATGTGTGAACTTTTTGAGGTAGGCAACCAAGTAGACTGCTTTTTGTTTGGTCTACCTGGTGCCTGGCACAGTGTAAAATCATATAAGGCAAGTATTTTGAAATTTGGGATTAGCAATTGTTAAATTCATTCAATAAGGAGGCAATTAGACTGAGGTGACTGATATCATTGGCCCATGTACACAAACCAAAATCTAAGCCTGTAAATACCTCAAGTGTACATAATTGAAACCTAAGAACCACCAATCACAAACAGCCAACTAGGCTTTAAACTATTCTATATAATAAAGAGTTAATATGCTAATTAGACCGAACAGCCGAATGACCTTCCAGACGACATTCCAGACAACCTTCCGGACGAAGCCAAGGCTGCGAGGGCCTGCCGAGGCTGCAAGGGGTTGTGAGGTGCTGCGAGGGCCAGCCAAGGCTGCAAGGGGCTGTGAGGGCCAGCTGAGGCAGCCGGGGCTGCAAGGGCCAAGCCCCTTGTACGAATTTCGTGCATTGGGCCTCTAGTAGTTAGTAATTTCCTTACTTTGCTTCTGCCTTTTCTCTATAAAAGCCTCTCTCTGAGCTGCTGTCAGTGGAGTGCTAACCACTTCTGGTTTGGCTCTGTCTGGTTGGAATAGATTTTTTCTCAAGTAATCTCTTAAAGTTTTAAAATATGCCTCAGTTTATCTTTTAAAACCATTTCACTGTCTTGGTTCCTTTCCTCTACACCTTTTTCACCTTTTCTATAACCTGTGGGGAAAAAAAAAAGCAAGACTACAAAACTGCTTAAATAGAAGGCTTTCTTTCTTTCTTTCTTTTTTATTTTTTTTATTTTATCTTATTTTTTTAAAATATATTTTATTGATTTTTCACAGAGAGGAAGGGAGAGGGACAGAGAGCTAGAAACATCGATGAGAGAGAAACATCGACCAGCTGCCTCCTGCACACTCCCCACTGAGGATGTGCTCGCAACCAAGGTACATGCCCTTGACCGGAATCGAACCTGGGACCCTTCAGTCCACAGGCCGATACTTTATCCACTGAGCCAAACCGGTTAGGGCTCTTTCTTTTTTAAAAAAAATATATTTTATTGATTTTCTACAGAGAGGAAGGGAGAGGGATAGAGAGTCAGAAACATCGATGAGAGAGAAACATCGATCAGCTGCCTCCTGCACACCCTCTACTGGGGATGTTCCTGCAATCAAGGTACATGCCCCTGACCGGAATCGAACCTGGGATCCTTGAGTCTGCAGGCGACGCTCTATCCACTGAGCCAAACCAGTCAGGGCAATAGAAGGCTTTCTTGACATTTCTTTTGGTCCCCTTTGGCCATATCCCAGTAGAGTTTTATCATCCCTCTGAATTACTTTAGCGTCATATTTGTAATTTTGTTTGTTGCTGTCTTCCAATAGATTTGTGTTTCTCGAGAGTAAGAATAATTATATTATTTGCCCTTTTGTCTTCAGTACCTAGCACTGTGCTCACAGTCTAGTAGTAGGTAGTCAACAGATGTTTGTTGATTAAATAAATTATTTTAATGAAATAGATTTTTCAAGTATAATTTCTTTTAGGGAAATTTCATCTGATTTCTAAGTTAGGAAGAGTGGAAAAAAGTGTAGAAGCTCACTGTGGAGCAGTACTGGCAGGAAGATGGAATTATGAAGGAACAGCATTAGTTACAGGTAAGTTGTCTGCAAAAATGGCATTTTAAGTGAATTTTTTAAAGAAAAATTTCCAAAGGAACAGAATATTTTCTTAGCAATAGCCTTTTATTATCTAATAGTAAATAATTAGCACAGTATTGATCTAGATTGCTATATAATGTTATAATTCAGGATGTCATATTAATTACTAGTTTTCTAATATGACGGAGAATATTCTGTCAAAAATGCTGTTGGAATGTTCAAGTAGAGAGTAAATAAAAGTTGTAATTCTTTAAAATTTTTAAATTCAAAGTATTCTCATTTAACTGACCTTTACCCTCTTCCATCTCTCTCCCATCTCCTGTCCTATTGCAAGGATTCTTCTCTTCACCTATTAGTTATCTATTATTTCATAACAAATTACTCCAAAGTTAGTGACTTAAGATGATAACCATGTATTATCCGGGAATAGTTTAACTGGGCGATTCTGTCCTGGACTCAAGAAGTTGGATGGGGCTGCAATCATATGAAAGCTTGATTGGGGCTGAAGGATCGGCTTCTAAGATGGTTTACTCACGTGGCTGTTGGCAAGAGGTCTTAGTTCCTCTCTGACTGATGGCAGAGGCCTTAGTTCCTCACCACCTGGGCCTCTCCGTAGGGCTGCTTGGTGTTCTATCAACATAACAGCTGACTTCTCCCCAAGTGAGTGATCCATGAGAGAACAAGATAGAAGTTACAACATGTAAGATGTCCCAAACAATGTATACACACACTTTGAATAATTATAAAGGCATTGTTATTAAAATACATTTTATTTTCAAAATTGAGCTATCCGTTGTTAAAGTGTGTATTCATTTTTGAGGACACTCTGTATTTTATGACTCTCCTCAGAAGTTATACTCCATCATTTCCACCACATTCTGTTAGGAGCAAGTCACTAACTATAGCCCACACTGAAGGAGAGAGAAATTAAGCTCCACCTCTTAAAAGGAGGAATAACAAAGAACTTGTGTATATGTTTTAAAATCACCACACATATCCCCTGGGCCTTCTGTAGGACTTCTCTCAGTGAGTTGTCCTTTTTCTTGCTTGTTTTTCAACTTCTCCTTTTCCAGTGGTTTCTTTTTCAGCACATAAGAATGTTAAGATGTCATCCATCTTGAAAATTGAGAAAAAAGAAGAATCCTTCTGTTAACCAATAACTCTCTCTAGCTATAACTTCCTCTTTCTTTTTCACTCTTGCAGGCAAACTGTTAAAAAATAGAGCCTACTGCTTCATCCATTCAGTCCCAAACTCACTGGAATTGGGCTGCAACTCTTCTTAATACACTGAAAGCACTTTTCTTAGAATTCTAGAATTGAGATTTCAGTGAAGATGACAGCATTATTTGAATAATATACTCATAAGTCTTCTAATATTAAAGGAAAAATAAAAAGTTTTGTCATGGAAGTTTGTCTACTTTGATAAAGTTGTTTCAAAATAACTTCAATTAAATAATACAGTTATGAAGCACTGTCATTTAATTAGAGTAAATTTTGTCCAAATTTTATATGTAAATTTAATGTTTTAATTTATTTCTTTTAAAAAATATATTTTTGTTGATATCAGAAGAAGGGAGAAGGGAGAGAGAGATAGAAACATCAATGATGAGAGAGACTCAATTGATTGGCTGCCTCCTGCATGCCCCCTACTGAGGATCGAGCCTGCAACCTGAGCAAGTGCCCTGACTAGGAATCGAACCGTGATCTCCTGGTTTATAGGTTGATACTCAACCACTGAGCCACGCTGGCTGGGCTAAATTTATTTCTTATAGCTAAAAATATCAATTATTTTCTCTTTATAGTTGGAGAAGATGGACAAGTAAAAATCTGGTCAAAGACTGGAATGCTAAGATCAACTTTAGCTCAGCAAGGTATGTATTATAATCAATAAAAATGTCAGCATTTTCCTTTAGCAGCAGTCTAATATCATTTCTAAGACTGATTTTAGTCAGGTTCAAAACCTGAAATCGCTCATTTCTATTTCCACTTTTTCCTCTTACTTTCCATGTTGCCTGATGGACCATGGTACCTATATTATTCAAGCCAAGAAATATACAAAATACTCAAGGGCTTTTTCTTTGTTAGTGAATCTAGACAATACAGTTATAGGCTAACTAGAGGCCCAGTGCACGAATTCGTGCACCAGTGGGGTCCCTCGGCCCAGTCTGCAGGATCGGGCTGAAACTGGCTCTCCGACATCTTCCGAGGGACCGCAGGAGGGCTCCCGGGTGTGTCTGGCCAGTCTCGTTCAGTCCTGATTGGCCAAACCCCAGCAGCAAGCTAACCTATCGGTCAGAGCGTCTGTCTGGTGGTCAGTGCACATCATAGCAACTGGTCAACTGTCTGCCCTCTGGTGGTCAGTGCATATCATAGCGAGTGGTTGAGCAGCCTTAGCATAGCATTAGCATATTATGCTTTGAATGGTTGAACGGCCAACTGGTTGACCGGACACTTAGCATATTAGGCTTTTATTATATAGGACTAGAGGCCCGGTGCACAAAAATTTGTGCACTCGGGGGGCGGGGGAAGGGGGGTCCCCCAGCCTGGCCTGTGCCCTCTCTCAGTCTGGGACCCCTCGGGAGATAACGACCTGCTGGCTTAGGCCTGCTCCCGGGTGGCAGAGGGCAGGCCCAATCCCTAAGTGCAGCCCCTGGTCAGGCTCAGAGCAGGGCCGATTGGGGAGTTGGGGCACCGCCCCGTCATGCACAGAGCAGGGCGGATTGGGAGGTTGCGATGCCACCCTCAATCACGCTCAGGGTAGGGCCGATTGGGGGGTTGGGGCACCGCCGCCTGTCACACTCAAGGCAGGGTCGATGGGGAGGTTGCGGCGCCACCCCCTGTCACGCACAGAGCAGGGCCCATCAGGGGGTTGGGGTGCTGCCCCCTGTCACTCACAGAGCAGGGCCCATCAGGGGGGTTGGGGCTCCGTACCCTGTCACTCACAGAGCAGGGTCAATCAGGGGGTTGGGGAGCTCCCCCCTGTCACGCACAGAGCAGGGCCGATCAGGGGGTTGAGGAGCTCCCCCCTGTCACTCACAGAGTAGGGCCGATAGGGGAGTTGGGGCACCGCCCCCTGTCACACACAGAGCAGGGCGGATCAGGGGGTTGGGGCGCTGCACCCTGTCACACTCAGGGCAGGGCCAATGGGGAGGTTATGGCTCTACCCTGTCACACACAGAGCAGGGCCTGTGTAGGGGGGTTGGGGCGCCACCCTCTATCACCCACAGAGCAGGGCCGATCACGGGGTTGGGGCGCTGCACCCTGTCACACTCAGGGCAGGGCCGATGGAGAGGTTATGGCTCTACCCTGTCACACACAGAGCAGGGCCCGTGGGGGGTGGGGGGTTGGGGCGCCGCACCCTGTCACACACAGAGCAGGGCCGATCAGGGGGTTGGTGTGCTGCACCCTGTCAAACACAGAGCCGCAGGGCAATCAGGGGATTGGGGAGCTCCCCCCTATCAGGCACAGAGCAGGGCTGATCAGGGGGTTGAGGCGCCTTCCCCTGTCATGAACAGAGCAGGGCGGATAGGGAGGTTGTGGCCCCGCCCCCTGTCACACACAGAGCCACAGGGCGATCAGGGGGTTTGGGCGCTGCCCCCTGTCACGCTGATCCTGGTGCCGGGAGCCTCGCTGCTCCGCTGATCCCGGTGCTGGGAGGCATATTACCCTTTTACTATATAGGATAGAGGCCTGGTGCATGGGTGGGGGCCAGCTGGTTTGCCCTGAAGGGTGTCCTGGATCAGGGTGGGGGTCCCCACTGGGGTGCCTGGCCAGTCTGGCTGAGGGGCTGAGGGCTGTTTTCCGGAAGCGGGTGACTGAAGCTTCCAACCACTCCTTGTTTTCTTTTTTCTTTTTTTTTTTTTATTCTGGGCCAGCTTTAGCTTTGAGGCCTCGCTGCTGAAAACATTGATACAAAGTTTCGGTCCGCTGGCTTTCAGTCAGGCTGGTTTCTGGTGTTTTGTTTAACTTCTTATTTGCAACATAGTACATAGTTGCTTAGAGTTGCAGCTGAGAGGCCGGCAAGTGAGGCGGGGAACGTTGGAGTCCGCAGCAAGCAAGCCTCATGCTCGCTTCAGTGCCTGGCTGCCGGCCGCCATCTTGGCTGACAGTTAATTTGCATATACTCACTGATTAGCCAATGAAAAGGGTAGCGGTCGTACGCTAACTACCATGTTTCTCTTTTATTAGTGTAGATGATTCTTTTTAAATAATTCTGAAGCATTATGAACATGTTCTATCTGAATAGGATTTGGTATCTAGTTAAATAAATAATAGGGAACATTGAATATCTCCTGACTTAAAAAGTCCTAATAATTTCATAATATTAGCACTCTTTCTAAATTATGTTGTACATTTGATTTCCATACTAATGGAGGGGAGCAGACACCCTGATAATCCAAAATTTGGAAAGTGACAGCTACTTAGAGCAGAATCTCAGTTTTCCATGTTAATTGGGAAGAAGTACCCATAAAGTCAGCCTATAAAGTGGTCATTCCTGTTGGGATTTAGATTACATAAGGTTTTTTTTTTCTGTGTAGCAGATTTATTTTCCTAATTACATTTACCTAGGAGCAATAAAGCAATCTTGATGTTGACCTGAGAATTTATCTTCTAATCTTCAGAACAGGTTGCCAAAAAGCTGCTTGCAGACTATTCTTCAGATTATATGATAAAGTCAATATTGTGAAGCATCTCCAAAAATTGACTTCAAAAAATTTCCAGATTTCATTTCTAAGTTGTTTATTCTTAGGATAGTGTTAAAATAGTTTACATTTCTAAACCAAATGTTAGTAAAGGAACCAGAAGTACTAGTTAGTACTTATTTCCTGAGGTTAAATCTTTGCAACAGATAATCTCCAAGTAGAGTATTTATCCATGAGTAGAAAATTTAGAGTCTATAGAAGCTTTCATGGATGGATTTCAGTTAGAAAAAATAGTCAGTTTATTGTTACGTTAGTAATAAAATGTACCTTTAGAAAATACTTTTTATTTTAATATTCTAGTAGGCCTGAGGATTTCCTTTTGGCTTTTTAACTTGTTAGGGCTGATTATTCGCCATTCTCACTCTATGATGTCTGTCTTATGAGCAACTGACAGAAATCTTCTAGAGGTTGCTGCACCCTTGGGGCTGGGGCTGCAGTTCTCTTTAGCTGTTGCTGCCACTGAGACATATCCTTTTTTCCTTTCTTTTCTCTTTTACTAAATTTGTTGTCTACAGAAGACACAGATCTTCAGAGGAATTCTGAAAGCTTATATCACTACCAACTGTATCTGAATTCTTGCCTAAGATCGTTCCTTCTGTTTTCTTAAATTCTTCCCAGACATCTCCTTCCCTTTTACTACCCTTGGATCCACCATTTTGAACTTTCCAAAGTCTAAAGTTGAAACTTAGAATAAGTTGTTCAGTGTAAACATTGTTAATCATTGAGGGTAGGTAACAATACTATAGTTTACCTGTGTAATGGGTCTGGAAAACAAATTGCTACTTATTTTGCTCTTATTGAGAAAATGCATTTAAAGTTTTCAAATTTGCAAGGGAAGTTCGAAGCACAATATGTTCATAAATTAAAGACTTTATAAATCAGAGGTCACAAACAGGTGGCCTTTGGGCTGAATCTTGCCCCCAAGCATGGTACTGACCCAATATTTAAAATCAGGATATTTACATACAAATTTGGTTTTCTGGTATCTTGAAAAATTGGAAGATCTCGCAACATTAGGCCTGCTTTTCAGAATGAATACAATCAGCTGGAGTTCAGTAGTGACTGCTCCATTTTTTTAAAAAATATATTTTTATTTATTTCTGAGAGGAAGGAAGAGGGAGAGAGAGAGATAGAAACATCAATGATAAGAGAGAATCATTGATTGGCTGCCTCCTACACGCCCCCTACTGGGGATTGAGCCCATAACCTGGGGATGTGACCTTTACCGGAATCAAACCCAGGATCCTTCAGTCTGCAGGCCAACACTCTATCCACTGAGCCAAACTGGCTAGGGCAGTGGCTGCTCCATTTTTAGTTGCATTTCAAACTTCTCTTATTTTTCTTACACTCTACTCATTTACATTACATGGGAGAAAATATAAATCTAAAGGTATTTGAGTTTGCAACCCCTGCTTTCAATAATAGTGATCATAAAATTTTGATTGTTAGTATGTACCTTGCAGGGAGCACTTAAATCTTTTTATTTTTTAAGTATTAATTTTAATAGTACATTCACATGCTTCAGAATTTAAAGCATATAAAAAGCTATAAAGTTACCTTTTAAATACTATTTCTATTTCTCATATTACCCCTATTGTCCAGTCACCCAGCAAACATTCCAGAAGCAACTGGTGTAACTTTTTATGTAGCAAATGTGTTTTTATGTATTCCTTTTTTCCCTCTCTTATAAGCAAGTGTTTGCATACTGTATCTACTACAATGTGCTCTTTGCTTGAACTATCTTGGGATAGACCTATATAGTTCTGTATCAGTAAATACAAATATTCAAGTTTTTTCTAGAGTGGATGTACCATTTTATATTCCTGCTAGAAATATATGAAGGTTCCAATTTCTCCACATTCTCAATGCTTGTTATTGGTTTTTTGTTTGTTTTGTTTTTTTATTTTTTATTTTTTTATTTTATTTTATTTTTTTTAAATATATTTTATTGATTTTTTACAGAGAAGAAGGGAGAGGGACAGAGAGTTAGAAACATCAATGAGAGAGAAACATCGATCAGCTGCCTCCTGCACACCTCCTACTGGGGATGTGCCCGCAACCAAGGTACATGCCCTTGACCGGAATCGAACCTGGGACCTTTCAGTCTGCAGGCTGACGCTCTATCCACTGAGCCAAACTGGTTAGGGCTGTTTTGTTTTTTTAAATCA